AGATCGATCGGCGTGTTCTTACATATTTTCATGTGTTCATCCTTGATAAATAAGTGGTTGATCGATTCACTTGACATGACCAACCAATCGACCAGTTCAACTTAAAATCTAGTTTAAATAGTTTTAAGTATGATAAATCTTGAATTGATTATATGTATATCAATCTTATAATGCATGCAATATGAAATGTGTGAATTTATTTTAATTTATGTTATCTAGTAAGATATAAAGATTTACATAATAAGCACTAAAATGAATTCTTAAAAACTAAAGCACCATTTGGGAACGCAATGCAAACCACGTTCTCAAAAAATTCAATTTTTTTTGGCTAAAATTTAATATGTTTTTGATCATTTTGATGTGTTGATATCAAAAATAATTTTTAAAAAATAAAAAAAATATTATTGGCATGCATTTCGGCACGAAAAGTTATTTAAAAAGCTACCGCAACAACTAATGTCAAAAATAATTTTTTTTTAAAAAAAATTATTAGCGTATATTTCAGCACGAAAAAGTTATCTAAAAAACAACCGCAATCACACTGTCAAACAAGCTCTAAGTCTTTCCTTACTTTGTAATTTGAACTTATTGATTTTTTTATTTAATTCTTTATACTTGTTGATGATGTTCATATAAACCTATATAAATTTAATCTAAACTAAGCATAGTATTAGTTAATTTTTATTTAATTATTATTATAAAATATATAAATATTAATACGTGACCTAAAGTGTTAAAACTTGTATATATATGTTGTGTGTGTGTGTGTGTGTGTGTGTGTGTGTGAAATATGAGAGTTGGGTTAGTATAAAATAGACAGAAAAATAGAAAAATAAAAAAATTAATAAGAGAAATCTCTAGTAAGTTTTAGATAAAAATAAGAGGAAAAAAAATAAGCGTATTAGTTAAGAAACGAGTAAAAAAAAAAAAACTAGAAGTTGAAACAAACTACGACAACGTACTTTCTACCGTGAATGTTCATTTTATTTTAATTTCTTTGTTAATTGTGTCAAGTAAAGATATAAAAATAGATAGAATATTAATCTTATAAGCTTAGCCATTTCTCCAAATTTCTATCAAGAGATTTAATTTTGTCAAAAAAATGAAAAAAAAAAAAAAAAAAAGGAAGAAGAAGCGACTGACGCCCACTCGTGAGTCGTGACCCGGACTTGTTACTTAGACTGAGTGAAGCGCTGAGTTTATGCAGAGAGAGAGAGAGAGAGAGATGGAAAGAACAGGGAAGGTAGTGGTGGAAATGGTAGGAGGGAAATCAACAGTGACAAGATGCTTCTCTAAGTATCCTCTCAAATTCATCGTTCCCTCTAAGGTAACCTGCTAACCTCCTCTCTTCTCGTTTGCTACTCTTATTTGTCATGATCATGGCAGCAATCTAAGACTATCCTCCTGAATGTTATTGCTTTTCTTGATAGGCGGGTCCTTGTAAAACTGATTCCGTTTGGATTTACTCCCTCACTTATGGCGGTGGCATCGTCTCTGTATGCTAATGCTCCTCCATCTCTTCTTCTTCGATCTTTGCTTGATTATTGCTGTTGCCCTTATCCTGTTTTCGATATATATATATATGTTTTTTTGGCATTTTAATTTGTTAATTTATGTACTCCCTTTTGGGTGCAGGGGGACTCTATATCATGTGGATTTGAAATTGGAGATGGATGCACCACTGTCTTCACAACTCAAGCTTCCACTAAGGTTAATTGATTTTATTGATTTCCTTAGGGTTTTTTTGCTATTGATAAATGTGACTTTTCTTTTAATCCTTGATATTGTATCTCAAAATTTTGCTTAATCCAATACATTAATGTTTATTCCTTTTGAACTTTTTTGAATAATAGGTCTACAAGTCTGTGGGATCCAAATGTTCTGCACAATTCCTGGAGGTAACGATCTTTCAAAAGCTGAATTAATTATCTTGACCAAGATGCATTGTTATCTTCAAAGCTTCTGGTAATTACAACATCCAATAGAAAATCTTATGATATTCACATTATGCTCTCAGCGATGCTTTGTTGATTATACTGTGTTTTTTTCACTTGAATAATTATTTTTCTTTTGAACCTCTAGTTGTTCGTCTAATAAATTGGCCGCAAGTTAGTAATTTTTTTTTAATCTAAGCACAAGAAATGTTTGTTGAGTCAAGCGAGAAAGTTCATAAGAAACTCCACTATTTATTTATATTGATGGTCTTTTCAAGTGATAGTGGCTATTTCATGCCATGCAGTAGGTAACAGTTGGCAGCGATGCTCTTTTGGCTATCCTTCCAGATCCAGTGACCTGTTTTTCAACTGCAAGATACTCTCAAAAACAAGTTTTCAGAGTGCTTCTGGACTCCAATTTGGTAATTGTTGATTGGTTTACCAGTGGGCGTCATGAAAGCGGAGAGAAATGGGATTTTGATCTCTATAAGAGCACCAACAACATATTCTTGGATGATAATCAGCCCTTATTTCTAGATACTGTAATGTTCTTTCTGCATCACTATAGTACACATTGGGATTGTCCTTGTTCATCAATAGAAATACTGTTTTTTTAGATGCTATTGTTTTTTTCCCAATATTTATCTTTTTGCATGGTCACTTTATTTCTGTTTTACTTTAAATGTGCAAGGCTGCTCCAAATTTTTAATGTGTCATATTTTATTAGTTAGTTTATTTCTTTTAGCTTTCTTCCTTACCAATTTATTTTTTTTTTGTCAAAAAACCATCTCACCTAATAGCTTAAGTTGTTAGGTGAGCTTCAAAATATGATTTGCCCACACTACCTAGTTCTATTAATTAATTTCAATTAGGAGAGAGAATAGGGGTGATGAAATTTAAACTTGTGATCTTTTGGTCAACAAGATTCTGATATCATCTCATTTAAAAACGTAAGTTATTAGATGAAATCACAAGATATAATTTGTATTATTCTCAAACACTTTTGATGCTTGATAGTAATGCACTTCATTTCTTTTCCATAGTCTATATGATCTTTTTGTATGCATATTTTGTTGGACCTATCCTTTCACATTCATTTGAGAGAAGCCTACATTCTAACTTTGTGATTGTCTTTTCCTTCTTTTCTTTTGTTGTATGTTTTTTTGTTTTTCTACTTTTTTTCTCCAGTTCTTCCAACAAATAGCAGGAATTGTCTTGTTGTTTAGCATAATTCAAAAGATATCCTCCATTCATTAGTTTTTGGTATCATTTTTCACCTTTGTTGTGGTCACATTTCATACTCAATCATGTGAGTTATTGCTTGAAATGGTTTGCCATTCTATTACAGGTATTGTTGGAGCAACAAAGCATTTCTCCTATCACTGAACGCATGAGGGACTACCAAGTTATTGCAATGATCATACTCTTGGGGTAGATACTTCATGATGTGGTGTAACATGTCTGTAGTTTGGTGATTGATGAGCTGATGGTTTGTGACCTAGTTATTTCTTTCTTGTAGGCCAAAGCTGAAGCATATTCAAAGTGAAGTTCAAGAAAATGTGAAAAGGATGATGTCTGAGCAATTGCACGTTCCTTTCACTGGCTTAAGTGGCTGCGCACAATCAAATTCTAGGCATTTCACCAAACCATCATTTATTGCATCTTGCAGTGTCTTTGGTCCAAAGGTATGTTATTTTTTTCTTTCTGCCATGATGCAATTGATATGGTGATATAACAGTCATTCTTGTCTCATTCTCTTTGACATTGAAAGAGTGCTGCAAATTGACCTTCTGAACTAGCTTGCTGATCTTTACCGTTGCTTGTTATGCCCTGTAGATATGAATGTAACAAACTAGCCTCGGGTTTTCTGTTGCTGTAGGGAATAGGTGTTATTGTTAGAGTAGCTGCCATGACAACTGAATCTGTATACAAATTCTTACAGCATCAATTGGTTGGCATGGAGCCTCTGATTGGGGTGTTGCCCTATCATTGAAATGCCTGGCAATCCTTTGCTCCGTGCAAATTGTTATTGCAGCTTCGTCACTAATGCATGGAATCATTTCTTTCAGCCATGATGCTATCTGTAGCTTCCTTCAAAGCGATAATTCATAGATTCCTTCAAGCATAGCCTTTTCTAGGACATGTTTCCTCAGATAAGAAGTGCATACCACGTAACATGTCAGATGACTTGTGTTAATAAATGTTCAAGGCAATTTTCTTCTTAATCAAGTGATTCTTAGGTCCAATCTCTGCTTATTCTGTATACTATATAAACTCGTGGATGGACTTGCAAACCCTGGTTTTTTGCAAGCCTTCTGGCTGCTTGGAGAGAGAATCATCTTTCTTTGAAATTTTTTTTGATGTCTAACATCCATGTTGGGTTGCATGTATGGGAGAAAAAAGTCGGTCCATGGAACTGCTGTCCTAACAAGAATCTGTTGTTGAGACCGATGGTCTAATTGCACAAGGCATTCTAGTAATCTCATGTTCAGAATTTCATTTGGAGCTTGACAGAATCTAAAGAAACTATGATTGGTGTCCGCTCATGAGGTTTTCGGCAGAAGCAGTGGTAGAGCTCGAAGGTCCCTCTCTCTTTTAGAACCTGGCCTGCTCTGCTTCATATTCCAAGTCATTTTGTGATGCTAGCAGGGAGCAACTCCGGTATAAGATGCACCCTGTACTCTCTAGATCTAGGCTGCGTAAAATGCGGGTAGAATTTCTTCAATCCTGAGAGTTAGGCAGGATTGGCCCTGAGTAGATGAGTGCCTTATCAATTGCTGTTATGCATGCTTGCTCTGACCTTGATTCCAGGCTGCCGTGGCCTGCAGGCGACTCTATTCTATATTAGAATTAAAAAAAGAGGGGAATGCTTAATTTCTCTGATGTCTACGTTTTTTAATTGACGGGGAAGGGGCACAGAAGCTGCAGGCATCAAAGCATCCATTATTTTGGCCGTGAAAAACAGAACAACAGTATATAACGAAAAGCTCGATATATGCTGGCAGATACAGGTAATAACCAGTGGTCAAACTTCAAAAGGGATCATTGCTCACACAAAAAAAACCATTGCTCAGACAATGATGTGGATGATATACATAAATAAAATTGCACCATTCCAATGATGTAACAAATTAATGACATAATAATGCCCAAATGATATAACAAAACCTGGAAACTCGCACAACTTTATCTCTCACGCTAATCTATCATAACACATGCATGGGATGCATAACCTCATTCCAAAGGGAGCCGCACAAATTAAGAATACTTGGATTAAATTCAACTAGAATGTAATCTCACAAGGTGCATGAAATGTTCTTCCCCGGCATATGGCTTCTAGATTTTCTCCAGCGTAAGAGCAAAGTGGTGATACCTCCACACCTGTACACCAAGTAGGCAGAGAAATTGACAATTAATTATACTTTGGGAATGCTTCTTAGAAGCTAGAACTGTGATTTAAACCAAGTCATAACCTCTCAAACCACAGCTCTTTCCCACTTATCCCGCTGATCTTAGTTCTCAAAACTACAAAGCACAACTTACACAGGGCAGGACCAATCTTGAGCTAAATGCTACAGAGCAGACTTAATGAACCCGTACAAGGTGGACAACTTGGCATGAGTCTAAACTTTAAATTATTAAATTGAAAAGGCATACTTAAATTCACAATCCATCTTTTACTAGGCAATGATTAGGATACGTAATGGGAGAGGTCTCCCTTTCTCTTAGATAAAAGCCCCTCTGCTACTGGCAAAAAAACAGAGGAAACCCAAATGATTGAGCAGGAATCAATCTTGTCTCTAGCGCAAACAAAAGAAGATAATACCAAGCTAGTCGGAGCCTTTGTTCCTGGTTAGCCGCCATTACCACTAAAAAAATAAGTGATCTACGGGTCTTCTATGATCTATCCAGAATAACAAACAAGTTCAGTTTAAACTCCTAAAGTACCACCCCTCTCCCTTCTTTCCCTTTTCCTCTATTATATTCCTATTGGTTTATTATAGGCATTCACTTATTTTCCATGATATTACTATGATTAAGCAAGCAAAATAAAGCATAAATTACCAGTTGCATATAAAGGCACTGAATGTGTTACAAAGCCGCCTGCAGCAACTACCCAGCGAGTATGTAGTCGAAGCACAAGCAGCCGAGCACTCTCGGGGGTGTCAAAATTTGACCCATTGGCATTTTTTACAGGTGCAAACTCTTCTTCCCGTGGTACCTGCACTTTGGTTATAGCAATTTTAAAGTGTAGAGAGAAAAAGGAACAAGGGTTGATGAAGCAAGAGTTGTAAATAAAATCACCTCAAAAAGAGCAGTTGAAGGAGCATATGGGAATGCATCAAATATGAATTGCTCTAGTTTCAATCCCATTGTACCACCATGAATAGAAGGAATTTTTTTCTCAGCTAGATGGTAACTGTATTCACAATGCATGTGCACATTAAAATCCTCAAACTAATTAATAAATAGGTATTATTTCAAAATTTTAAAGCAAAGTTCAATTGGAAACCTAGACCTCAGTTCTGCAGCATCATCATCAAATGTATTATTCTAACATGAAAAATCATATACAGCATATAGATTGCATGCATTGACCAAACAGGTGTAGGTAGGATATAATATCACCGCAAAGGAGCTGAAACAATTTCCATTTTGGACAAAATATACATAGAAATTAGAAAGTACGTCAATGATACAGCAAATATGAACTGCAGATGCAAACCACGTGGACCCGCTTGCTATTATGTGGTCCCAAAATGAGCATTAATCAACAAAATCATGCTAGAGGAGTGGTGTTCAGCCCAAAACATGTAACTAAATTGCAGGAAAGAATAGATATATTAGATAGTAATAGTTAAACTTTATTTAATCAAGAGTGACTAACATGCTGTCTTTCTCGAGGCCATTTGCCACTTGATTTAGAAAATCCAAAGTAAACATGTGCAAGCACACCTGAAAACCAAAAGCCACAATAGTTCAGCTTCAGGAAGACAACATTCGGAGAATGTGATAACAAGATAGCACATAGTTTGATGCAAAAGAATGGAAGAATGTGATAACAAGAAAGCACATAGTTTGATGCACAAGAATAGAACTTCATTCCTGCTCTCTCTCCTCTCTCAGCCTTTTTGGAACTACATTCAATAGTTCACCTTAACAGAAGTCTATGACACTGCAATTTTCAAAGTAAATACACGACAAGTCTCGCCTAGTGTATCTAACTAAGACATTATGAGCTTCTAAAGCACAGGAACACCAGTTCACATAACTCCAAAAATCATTGATAGAAGTCTAATGCAACTATAATTGAAGTTTGTTAAAAATGGTGAAATTAAAACCAATTAAATAGAAAAAAACTGAAGAAAATAAAGGCTGAAATTGTAATCTCATGTCTAACATCAAAAGTTATTGAGCCCAAGAAACTAATGAATTTCTAGCAATAAATGATTTGAATTTTTCATCTGGAAGTGCAATAATAAGAATTATGCAAACATAAGAGATTAAAAGAAGAAGATACAAATAGACTATACATTACTCCAACAAAAGCGAAGTCGTCCAGTTTGTTGGTTGATTGCAGAAGCAAGTGACTGATCCAGCTCACTGTATTCAACCACAGTGAGAGGTCCACCTTTACCACGCCTTACAAAAACACCAACCTTTTCTTGGGGGTATGCCTGTAATCTAGCTTATAGTTATTAAGCTGCACTAATTTTGAGAATTTCTGTTGTACTAAAAAAAGACCAAATTCAACATTTGATCAAAAATATCCACAGAAGATTAGCTTCTAACTTTTCTAGATTAATATTTAACCACAGTTTATGTCTTTCATTCTTATGACCTATGTTGGCTTGTGGAGCCAAACTCTTGCAGTAGCAGCTTATATTTTTATTAATGATCTTAAATGAATCCAAATATAGATAAAGATTACTACCTTACGGACAACTTTTGCAGCAGCCGCTACACCTTTATCAATGAAATATCCCAGAAAAGCTGGATCAGCTACACGAACCTGCTTTCAATACCCTAATCACTATTTCTTTAATTATGAAAATTTATAAAAGTTCATAGAATTGAAGCACTGAAAAAAAAAAAATCACCAGTGCATTGTCAACTCCATAGCAGTCCACATACTTGATCCCTCTTGAGGCCATATCTTCTAATAATTTTGAATATTTCAGTGCTGCAGAGAAATTAGGATAAAACCAAAGCAATAAGCAGCAATGTCATAATGTGAAAGCGGGGGGGAGTCTCCAGCATGTTGCCCTCAATTTTGGAAGGATACCTGAATATACTCCTCCATTCCCATCAGGAGCTTTAGCTACCTGATTTTAGAAAATCAAGATCATGCAATTGAAAGTTGAAGTAAGATATAAATTTAGACCCTTCAAAGACATGGGAAGATAAAATCATTATTTTAGGGCAAATAGAAGTCATCAAAATGACAGGAAAAATCCAGGGGACCGTATAACCTATACTGGATAAACAAAATCTTTAAAGACTAATTAAGCTCATTTACAAAGAGAGACCATACTTTGAATGGAGTCTCCATGATAAATCTACCATCCTTGGAAACACAAGGTATGGTGCCTTGCTGGAAGAAGGTAACCTGCATCCACGAAATGTCTTTCAAATTAAGCAAAAAAGTATAAGAAATAACTGACGAGTACTTTTAGATAGTTGATGAGATGAAGCTTCCATACCTGATTAGCTTCAAGGCCAAAGTACTTGTGATTTTCGAAAAAAATTTGTGTGGCTTCATCAGTGAACGGGCTGGTCATTATGTACCAATGTATTGAAACTGAACTACCAGAACCTGCACGTGATAAATTTTAGGGATAGCATGTCAAATAACACTTGCCATTCAGAGCTTTAAGAATAAAACCTTACCTTCACTTGAAGCTTGAGCTGCTAGTCTTTGGACGCACAAAATTCTCTCAGCTTGAAGTTGAAAAAGGGACTTGCCAGATGGAAGTCCAATATCTGAAAAGAAAATATATTAAGTGTGATAACAAAAACAGTTACCTAAAATTTTGACATATATTTCATATTCAAATCACTAAAGCTCTCAGTTTCAGATATATCTAACTAGTATATATATCAGATAGGGATCCTAACATACTTTTTACAGTAGAGAGGAGTTAACTTTAAAGTAATCTAGGTACATATAGCAAAAAGGAGGAATTCAAGAAAATGATTATAGTTATTTCTTTAATTCAAGAAAATGATTGTAGTTATTTCTTTAATGCATTTGATTTTTTTTTTTTTTAGAAAACTTACAGACTTGCAGAGTCAGGAAAATTACAACCTAATGCTCCAGAATCAAATTTATAATTATTGAGTTGCAGAATCACCTATCCAAGCCGTTCTTTACTCATTTTTTATCTTATAACCAACTCGGACACTAAATCTTCTTCTGCTTCAACAATTGTACATAATAAATGAGTAACAATATTTAAATGCACTTCATTTTCTCTCAGACATTTACTAAGTGCATTTGCATGTGAGCATGTGTACATTTGTCCAATTGCTAGCTAACATGCTAACTAAACAAGACAGGATTAGCAAAGAAACTACAATTGCAGAAAATGGCAATTACTCACTGAAACATCCTTTTGGATCTGAACTTCCAAGCCTTGTCCCCTGGATATTTCAGTTATGAAAAACACACCAAAAAATATGTCAAGCTCACACTAGAAATGATGCAACAGGTGATAAAAAAAGTACAAAGGAGTAACAACACGGAACACAAAGATCAATGCAACCACAAGCAAGAATGTGTTATCTGCAACAATCCCAGCATAAAATACATCAATCCCGGATATTTTTTGTAATTCAACATGGTAAAGAGTTCTAGTATAAATCATGGGATGAAAGGAGGCAGTTAAAACTTCCTCTGTTGTAGTCCCCCAAAAGTTAGATGCTGCTGGTCCACAAATAAATGGCCCCAATGCAATAACAGATAATATATATATATATATATATATATATAATTGATTCACATCACTGTAATTGTTCCACTAGTTTCCGACGAAATTTTACTGGTATGGAACCGGATGATATATGTCTAAATTCGCACATTGTTCTATCTCAAGATAATTGGCATGTCAGCATGCTCCCATCCATATCTAATGATGCTCAATAATTTTCTCCTTCAATAATTGATCCCAGTACATATGATTTAAAAATAAGGCACATCTGCCTACAAATCTTCTGTAAGTATATAAAATAGATATACAATACAGTATATTCTAATGAAAAAAGTGTGCATTAAAGCATCTTTTAGATATGTAATAATTAATCCTACGGAACAAATCACAGCCCTTGCTTTACAAATTATTATCTAAACATATCCATAAGCAAACTGTCAAAAGTGGGCTTCCATCGATAAAAGCAGCATTATACCACCCAAAAGAAAGAGAGAGAGAGAAAGAAAGACAGGCAAACCTAATGTAACATTCATTCAATTAACAGTGTTTGATAAAGTAAACAGTGACTGGTTGCTCACTCATTGGTTCCTACTTTTACATCATTAATTGAACACACACTCCCCCAATCATCAAATTGTCTTCGTGTGGAAATCATCCCAAAAAGTACACATCATGCCATAATTATGCTTTTAAAGTGTGATGGATAAATTAATAAAAGAGATGTAGGTATGTATTTCATCAAGCAACAAACAACAACCACTTTTCAATATTCAAAAGTATAGAATTCACCAAAAAGAAAAGAATAAACGGAAAAGGAAAATTAACAATTCAGCGCTAATTACTAAAGGAAAAAACAAAAAAAACAAAAGACAAATAGTACCTGGCCACCAGATAACAGCAAAACAGCCAGCTTGCCATCAGAGATTGCCTTCAATCCCATCTTCCACCATCTCTCTCTTTCTTCTATTGTTCTCTCCTCTACCGTCGACACGGTATTCTCCGGCACCGGCTCAATTGCGACCACCGGTAGCCCTGTAAATTAATCAACGAAACGAGACAGTAAATCATACGTTATGAACTACACATTCATATCAATTAGTTTCAACACGATTAGAGAGGGAGACCTTGAGATCGAAGCGAACATCGAATTATCCGATCCAACCTTGGAAGATCTAAGCTCTGCAATTAACAATCCAAATTCAATTAACATTGCGAGAAAAAAGAGAGGGAAGATCTAATAGAGTGAGATAGAAGGGGTGAATTGACCTCGATGTCCTTGAAGAGAAGTTCTCGCTCTTCAGTAGAGAGCTCGTCCCAGAGGGCAAAAGCGTCTTCCTGGCCATAATCTTTAAGCCTCTCGAGCAACGCTTGTGGAGGTGGAGGAGATCCGTTGTTAGTTTCAATTGGTTCCCTCATTTCCAGTTTCTCTCTCTAAATCTGTCAGGAAATTATCTCTCTCTAGATCTCTCTCTCTCACTGTGGCTCTGTGATTCGGTTTGCTGGTTAAAACGCTTATAGAGAGAGAAACGAAGATAGTGAGTGAGTGGAACAGTAGTAGCAACTAAGTCTGTTTGTTTCTTTGCGCGTCCTCTCTAAGCAACTACCGATTCCATCCATTTTTAATTACGGTATTAACCCAGGTTATTTCTCCTAATAATAGTTATTAAATTTGGTATTACCGGCCAAAAGGCTGAGTCAGGAGTCAAACCGCTTGACCTGATTATCCTAAAAAATTAAAAAAAATATTTGAATTTCTAATACCTCACGTAAAACAATTAAAAATATTTTATATGCATATAGTTTATAATTTATATATAAAGTTATTCTATAAAATAAAATAATAATATATGTGAATGGAGGTTATATATATATATAGTCCACATACAAAAATTTAAAAAATTTTCATATAAATATAGGTTGTTAAAAAAATAAATCTGAGACGACATCTTCACAAATTAATTTTTGTATTTTTAAGGTTTATGAAAAAATATTTAAGAAAAAAGCCAGGCCTCACCTGATTTTTAACCATTTAAAACTCGATCAAGGCTTTTAAACCCAGGTCCCGAGTGAACCCTTTAGGTCAAGCCCGGTTTTATGTCTATGCTTCTAATCATCATGCTAGGTATCAAATTACTGTTTCTCTCTCAGGCAAACCTCAGATTAGTCCCTTAACTATACATATATCTCTCGTCTGAGTCGGAGTCTGAGTCCTCGAGCTACCAATTTTATCAATTAAGTCCCCGCTCAACATTTTTATTTGTCAAGTCTATAAAGTTAAAATGCGCCCTTCCTTTCCATTTATGGCATGCAATAATAGGAGCGTGGTCGGAGCATGTAATTACCTTAATTGTGTCTTAAAAACAGCGATTAGACACTCTTAAATCGATTAGAGAAAATGATTAGCGTGTGGACTGTATTTAACGTCGCCTCTAATTGTTTTACTAGAAGAATCTGGTGAGTTGATTGAAAACGGTGGTAGTGCTGGTTGAGAGTCTAAAACGAGAGATATGTTTCACTACATTCAAGGAGGCACAAGAATTACGTGACTTCACCCTAGAAAAACTGGATGTCGGTCTGCCGACATGGGATTCTTAAATGGACCGAGATCAATGCATTCAGTTTTGTTCTTCTTTGCTTCAACAACCATATTAACCAATAATGATTTGAGTTGCATGTAATATTAACGCAGAAAGTAGAGATCAAGGATTGTTCTCAAGCTGTAGCAACTTCTTGTCGCTTGCATGTAATATATAATTGAATAAATCCAAGCACTTTACATTACATGGGAGGAGGGTCCAGTGCGCATGCCTCCCACCCTCCATACCCCTAGTATCCTGACGGGCCATGATTAGTTGATTTTTTCAACTCAGCCCTCCCCTTGTATCGAAGTATAATCTAATGATTCTTCTTTTTTTGTTTTTGGATCGAAGCATAATGATGTTTTTCTCTTCCCTGTTAATATCGAATTGAGCCCTGTCGATATATCGAACTAAAGAAAAAACTAGGATAGCCCAGGCATACAAGCCACCGTGATATTATTATTATTATTATTATTATTATTACTTTTCCATTCACGAATAAAAATCATTGAATTTACGAAGGGGTGATATGATAATTTTATATTAGTATTTATTTATTATTACTAAATTAATTGAAGATAAATAGGTATTTTTCTTCCTTTTCAAACACAATAAAATGATTGAATTAACCTTTAAAAAAAATTCATTTTGCTAGCATCTAGGGGCTTTTTAGTTTTTTTTTATTTTCAAAGCACAATAAATTAAACGTGTAACTCGAAAGCAAAAATTCTTTAACTAGCATTAAAATGTGTTTTTGTTTTTTTTAATAGATTTGGCTAAAAGATAATTTTATATTTTAACAAGTATATAATATGATTAAAAAAAAATTGACTCATGAAAGTGTTTGTGTCAATCAAGAGACTTCATCAGAGATGGTGGCTAAATAGTAGCTTCCACAATAGTGATGGAAGCATCACAAAGCTCCTTTTCATTTAGAGTGGCGCGTGTATTGATTTAGGTAATGATATATCGTCGGTGATCTTTTTCTTCTTCTTCTTTTTTATCTCTTTATCCCTTAAAAATTTGTGTAGTTCATTGAAAATTTTAAAGTTGTCATTTATTGATATTTCAACTTCAATTCTCATTTTTTTTTAGTTTTTGTTCTTGGTTTTTTTATCAAATTTTAATTTGTTTTCAATTTCATCTTTAAATCCATAATTGTGGTTTGTTATTTTTTAAAATCTAGTCTTTATTCTTTTGATTTTGATTTTATATTGTGGATTCAATTATGAATTTGATTTTTATTTTTAATTTCATCATTCAATTCAAAATCTTAAGTTACTCTCTCATTTATTTTTTATTTTATATTTGGTCCTTATTCTTTCAATTGTTGTTTTTTTATTTTTGATCCTTTTGTGTATATTTTTTGTGAGTTTATTTTTTCTTTTCAATTTAAAATTCTAAGTTGGCCTCTTATTTACTTTTATTTCATATTTGATCCTCATTCTTTTAATTTTTTATTTTTTTTGTCCTTTTATATAAATAAATTTTCTTCTAAATTCATTATTTGACATTTGATTTGTTGAGAATTGGACTTTGTAGTTTTTTTGGATGGTTTGCTTTTAGTCTAATGACTTTGATCATAAGTTTAAAAGGTTAACATGAGTTAACATTATTTTTTTATATATATTTTTTTAATTTCATCCTTCAATGTTGTTTTTTTAATAGGCTTTATGCTTTTCTTCGGTTTTCTTTCAATCAGGTTATCTGATCTCATGACCTGGATAATATATTTGACAAATTAATTTGATTTTTTTTAAGGATTTATATATATATCTTTTTTTTTTGTTTTGTCCTTCAAAATCATTTTTTTTAAATTAAATTTTGTCATTTTTTCTCGTTTTGCCTTCATAGTTGAATAAACATGATGTTTTTGTCTCTTTTCTCTAAAACATGCTTGCAATGCTAAAAAATAATTTTTTTACATGATAGAAAAATTAATCTAGCTCGCAATGAAATGCGAGCCACATACCTAGTTATAATGTAAAGACACTTCTTTTTTGTTTTTAGATCGAAGCATAATGATACTTATCTCTTCCTTTCCTCTTACTATTATACTAGCTTTGGTGCATGTACTTCGTCATAGGGATGAATTATTTTTTTGTATAAAAATAATATTTAGCTGTCGTAAACGTGTTTTAAAAAAAGAAACAAAAATCCAGGATTTGGGTCATAGACTTAATTGGGTCAAATAAGCTAACTTTAATTCATTAAACCAAAAAAATAAAATAAAAAATCAGCAATAGATAGATCAAACTTTTTTAAAAAAAGTGATTAGGATAACCTAAGGAAAAACTATTGTTTTTTCAAAATAGAAAAAATAATGTATCTCAATTCATAAACTATTAAATACAAAAAAAAAACTTTTAATAAAAACCAGTCTTGGTTATCTCGAATTAACATGACAAACTTTTAATCCTGACAATTAAGGTTGAGCCAACCCAAAATATCTCGTTAAACTCATGATCTAGATCATAATTTTGAAATAACCTGATAAAAAATTAAAAAAAACTATAAAGTTCTTTTTAATAAATAAATAAATAAATAAAACCTCTTGTTAACTTTTTAAAGTCATGACTAGGATCATTAGATTTGAAACACTTTATTTGCAAAAACATAAAGTCTAATTTTTAATTAAATATTAAAGGATGAATTTTTTAAAAAAAATTGATTATGCAAAAGGATTTAAAAAATTAAAGGAATGAGCGTCAAAATTTAAATACCAAATAATTTTTATCTTTAATTGAAGGACGACATTGAAAAGAGAAAAATCAATTTAGAAAAAAATCCAAAATAATCAAAAGAATGGGGATTAAAATTGACATATAAAATAAAAACAAATTTATAATTAAAAGGTGAAATTGAAAAGAATAGTAACTTCTCAAAAAGACCCGAGAAAAAATTAAAAATCAAAATAACAAGGATTAAATTAAAAAATATAATATCATTAATTTGAATTGAAAAATAAAATTAAAAACAACAACACTTTTATAAAAAAATCAAGAAAAAGCAACTAGAAATCAAAAGAATAACATCAAATTAAAAAAATATAATTAATTAATTATTAGAAGTGTTTTATGCATCTAGTTGTTGTTGGAATAATAATATTAAGGTAGATGAAGGGTTGTGCAACAAGAGGATGTGGGAATTTATATGGACGTCCAAACATATTTAGGTTGCCTGGGATGACCTACTTAATAAATTTGGTACCTTTTTAAAGTACTTCTTTTACCTCCATTATTACTCTCTCTCTCTCTCTCTCTCTCTCTCTCTATTATATTCCCTCGCCAAAGACAACTGAAATTATTAGAAAGAAAAGGGGAAGGAGGCAATCATTAGAAAAGTATCAGTCCCTTGGACAACTTACACATTATTAGTCCTTCCAAATAAATGAATTTCATACCAATAAAGTAGTAGTTATTATTTTTTATATGGATTTGTTTGGAGCTCGGACCCATTTATGGTTGATACTGCCAAAATCCCATGACGGGGAAAGCTTCTTTTCAGTTTGGAGTTTGGACCCATTTGGCTGGCAGCGTGGCAGCAAGCTGCTGCCTCCCCCAGCAGCGCTAGAAGCTGATGGCACTGCTGTGCAGCCACACGCGAGTCTGATGCCTGACGCATGATGGTTCATGTTGGTGGCGATAGCCTTTGTTGCCGTTGCTAGACCAGCAATCGGCGGTGGGCAGTGAGCCCATTACTAGCTGCGGTAGTTGAGAAGAAGATGAGAGGCAAATATACGATTCTTCCGTGCATCTTTTATTATATTACTTTTATGGGTAGCCCCTCACTTTATAACTTATAAAGATAGAGTTTTTAGAGTCTAATTTACAAATTTACCCTTGAGTTTTATTGCTTATTACAATATAAGTATATTGGATAGAATTATCACTATGTCTCTCCTTATATAATTTTTTATTTTAAAATTGAAATATAAATTAAATTAATTATAGAATTAATTTTTTTAATAGGATTAAGATTGAATTAAAAATTTTAATT